TGTTAGGGACAGGGAACCACACTAAGAAACTACTGGGTAATTTACTTCTTCATTTGGTCTTATCTATTTCACAGTTTTTGTGTGCTTAGGTTATAGCCCCATAAATGGACCAGAGCATGACTCTAAAATGTACCATATGTAAACTGCTGAGTTTCCTTAATTACTTTAGTCAAAGTAATGGAGCTTAGATCTGCTTCCCATTAACCACAAAGCAATTTGTTCTGCGTTTATATTTTAAGAGTTTGCATATATTCTTTTTTAATTCAGATGCCTTTTACAATTCTTGTATATCATTGGCTTAAGATATTTAGTATAATTGATTTTGTTGGAATATGAGTTTTATTTTTAGTACAAAAGAACTACTAATAAGTTAGAATTAGGTCAGTGTACAATATTTGAAATCAATGTTAGAAATATGCTGTAGAAAAATTGGAAGAAGAAATTCAAAGAAACAAAAATTGCTTAGAGAAGCTTCTATAAAATTCAGTGATTGAAAGATTGATCATGTGGTTGATATGGCAGGGAAAGCAGCAGTAAACTAAGCTGTTTAATTTATTGTGTCATTCTGTTGAGGCAAAAAACATTAAGAGATAAAGATAGTTATAATGATTTGTGAGATATTTGCTTTTAAAATCAGTATATGTGAATTTAAATTGCTGGAAATATACATTACCAGAGTCATCTTATGAATTTTTAATGTTATATAAGTGTTACAGAATGGCAGACTTTATAAGAAAATTAGGCATCATTTGATAGTTTTGTAGAAAAGAACAGAATAATAAATTACTACAAATGGATTAGATTCTAATTTTCAAGCATTTTTAAGTTCTAATTAAAAAAAAAAACCTGTATAACCAGTTTAGAAAGATCACATTTCCTTTTTTCTTACCTGTAGTTTTGCTAGTTGGTATTAGTAGGAAATATAATGGGTGCACATTTCAAGGCTTCTGCAATTTAGCAGAATAATGGTAGAATGTACTGCTTACTGAAATGAAGAGGGGGCTGTCATTAATTTCTAATGAAAATTAAATAATGTATGTGTAGGGTATTTCTATTCCAAGGGAGTCTAGAAAAGCCTCCACTATGTTAAGACAGTTGACAGCAACCTAAAGGGTAGATATTAATTATGTGCAACCTTGACACTGAAAGCTGATATTATATAATTACTTTCCCATCAGAAAAATACATTTGGAAAATATATGTAATATTTCAGTCCAAAGAAGGAACTAGAATGAAATGTGGACTCCTACTAATAAATTAATGCTTTTATTTTGAAATGTTTTTTCTACCATTAAAGTCATAGGATTGATCGGTTAGAGTAGTCAGAGAATATATTACACTTTTTATTCCATAATAAGCCAGTATAATCAATCAAGAGATGGTACTGAATAATGGAGATGTCAAAATCTTTCTTCCATTTATGTCACCTTCATTGCAGAATAAGGATAGTGATCTATTACAGAATTTTTATATTTTATTATCATTATTCAGAGAAGCAATTTCAGTTCATCCATGAAGGGTGACTGAAAAATGTGTTTTTTTTTTTAAATTTTAAAACATGAAAGTGTTTGAGATGCTTGATGTTGTGCTTTGGAAAAAAATACTTAATGCAGACATTTCATAAAATAGTCCTTTATGTCAGGAATAATGCAAATATGAAGGTCTCTAGGTGAGAAATTATCATAGGAGATAGAATCATAAAATAAATTTGAATTTTATCATGGCAACTGAACCAAAGTATAAAAATATTGAAGAGAGACTTTGTTTTGAGAGAATTGATTTAGTATTTGTCATAAATTGGAATCTGAATGTAGAATTATTGAGGTCCATTTATTTTGTGCCTCGAAGTGGAACTTTATTTGATGGATTCATTCATATATGAAGTAGTCAGTCTCATAATGCCATAATTGTTGATAGTCAGCACATTGGGATTCTTTTTTTTAAGTTGTGCTTCTTACCATGATACTGTTTAGAAGTTAAGGGGTTTTGCCCTTTTTTTGAGTACCGGGGATTGAACTCAGGGGCGCTGGATCACTGAGCCACATTCCCAGTCTTGTTTTGTATTTTATTTAGAGACAGGGTCTCACTAAATGGCTAAAAGAACCTTGCCATTGCTGAGGCTGGCTTTGAACTCATGATCCTCCTCCTCTGGCACTGGGATTACAGGCATGATTAAAGCCACCGATCTGGCTTTTTATTTATTTATTTATTTTTAAACAAAAAGCACATTTGTCATTACCAGCTTAAAAAACAAATGCTGAAGGTTGAGTTGGCTCTACATTTTTTAGGCAAATGTTTTTTTCATCAAGCCATGTTAAAAAAAAAAAAAAAAGAAAAAGGGAGGAGACTTAAGGCAGCAGACAAAATTATCTAGGAGATTAGAAAGTTCAGTTTATTATTTCCAAATATGTTTAATGTATTAAGCTTTAGCACTTTAAAATTCTTTCATTTTCAAGTGTAGGATTGTTGTGATTTGGATTTGATCTGTGTGTTTTTCCCAAGTGTACTTCCCTGATTGTAGTTCATTCAATAATTTAGCATTCCACTGTTTTATAGATTCCATGCATTAAGGTTGGGCATAGTAGTTTGCATTGTTTTCTACCTGTGTAATGTCTGAATGTGCTTGTTTATGGACTTATTTTACTAGAAAAAGTGCAAAAATTTAGAAAGCTATACTCAGTAATTTGTCTTTCAATTAGAGGTAGCTTGGGAATTAAATGCAACTTGCAACAATAATTATTGAGAGTTATAAGTGACAGGAGTTTGATGGTCAATATTCTGCAGTCCTTTCCAAAATAACTGTATGTGTGCTGGGGATTAAACCTAAGAATGCATTATAGCTGAGCTACATCACCAGCCCTATAAATAATCAGCAATCAACTGATGATCAGTATTTGTAAGGAACATGAGAAACAAAGTAACAGAGTCTAATAAAGGACAGCCTAGAGAGCTAGGCGGACAGATTCAGCTCCCTTAATCTGAACTGTGGTCTTCATATTGGTGAAATGGTCATGCTCACTTTGAATTTAGTTTGGGCTTTATCATTTTGGGCCATTAAAAGTGATAATTCTAGCTGTCTTAGAATTTGATACCAAATGTAAGAGAGGAAAGGAGTCAGATGTATGAGGATCCAGTGGGTGGGTAGAGTCGCTGATAGGCTGGATTAGAGAATGTGATGCAGAGCTGAGGCCTTCCACAGTTGGACTTTCCAGTATAACCCCATATTTAAAGTTTGTCTTTTTGTTTGAGGGAGAGAGTTTGTGTATACAGAGCAAACATATGGATTGTCGTCTCACACCCAATGAACCCTGATGATGGGAACAGGGAGAGGTGAGCCTATGGATCTTTCTTTTTTTTTCTTCTTCTTTCTTTTTTTGAGAGAGAGAGAATTTTTTTTTTAATATTTATTTTTTAGTTTTCAGCGGACACAACATCTTTCTTTGTATGTGGTGCTGAGGATCGAACCTGGGCGTGCACACACATGCCAGGCGAGCATGCTACCACTTGAGCCACATCCCCAGCCCTGGATCTGTCTTTCAAAGGCAGGTTCATTGATGCAGGGCCATGCAGGGCCATGGAAGAGCTCAGAGGAAAATGTAGGTTCCCTATAGACAGGAAGGTCTTAAAAGAAAATGAGGACAAAAGCTGAGGCAGGTAGACATGCTTTTTCCCAGTCCTGTACAGAGGAGTGAAGAAGTAGAGAACGGACAGAACCTTTCTTCTTAATATTCTTGGAAGTACCTTTAACATGAAGCCATCGGAATTCTCCAAAAGTCACTGTAAAATTAGTTCCATTTCCCAAAGGAAACCTCATTTTATTTAACCTCATTTAACTTGAGTGCTAAATTTCCTTACTGTTAATCCTAATACATTAATGGGGAGTAAACTCCATTCTCTCCTCTTCCACATTTGAAATATGTTAGCTGTGCTGCAGTATTTTGGTTTTTTTTGAGTCTTGAGTGTTGAATATCTGAGAAGAGAATGGTTCTGTGAAAGACTTCAGGGAATGTAATTTGTTGTTACAGTAGTTTATTAGTATAACCTTTATATAAATTTTAATCAAAAGCTGTGTGCTCTTTGAGTATAGTCCTGGACGGTGAGTGATTATTGGGAAGCAGATATATACTGTCTCCTTTTTGGGTGTCTAAGGAAAAAATAATTTGCTTCAGTGAGAGGTGTCTCAGGTTTAAGGTCAGCCTTTTTGAATCCTCCGTTGAATTGTGATAGGGAACAAAATCTGAGATCAGTTCAACTGCTTAGTTTCTTGCCTGATCAGCCTTGACTAGATAAACTTTTCCTTTCAATCTTAAAAAAATTTAAATGCTATCTCTGTCACCTGCAGTTGAATATTAAGTAATATAATATACTGTTTGAATATTGAATCATTGAATATTGAAAAGTATAATATTATACCTTTGAATATTGTGTAGTGTAGGTTTAGAGGTACATTACAACAACCAATTTCTTAAAGTCTGATCTTGATTATTCTGCTCTAGGTCATCAGAGTCCTGGTTTTTTTTTTTTTTTTAGTTGTTGAAAGACCTTTATTTTATTTATTTATATGTGGTGCTGAGAACCGAACCCAGTGCCGTACACATGCCAGGCAAGTGCACTACCACTGAGCCCTAGCCCCAGTCCCCAAAATCCTGTTTTGATGTTATTTTTTCTTATCTTTTCTTGTGATCATTTTACCTGAAATATTTTTTTGCAGAGATAAAAGGGAAAGGAGATGAAACTTAAATCAATTTTTCTTTTTTAACTTATAAGCACCTAATTATGAAAGTGGTCAAGTATTTAAAAAAAAGTTTTATAAAAATATGCACAGTTGAGAATGTTATGTTTCCATAGTATTTACTAGACACTTTATTTGTCATCTGGGAATTGTCTTTGGAGTACCCTCTTTCTCCATAGAATTTGATAGTAATTTATTTGAATTGATATTAATTCCTTGTGTGTACTTTTTTGGGAGAGGCTAATCTTTGTTTTTTTTCCACTTTCAGTTGATCCTATTAAGGTTCTAATGCCATCTCTGTCACCTACAATGGAAGAGGGAAACATTGTCAAATGGCTGAAAAAGGAAGGTGAGTTAAGAACATCATTGGTGTCTACTGTTCTTTTTTGATCACTCTTCCTGGTTATTTTGGCTTTTTTCTAATCAGTTGTATTACACAGTACATAATCTATATGAAGTAACTTTTGTTTCTTTGCTACTAATATAGGTTTGTTTAAATAAAAATTTCCCATGTAATGTAGCAAAGTTTTTTGGGTTCATCCTGTGTGTTTCCACACGCACTGAATTTTAAAATATTTTAAAGGTTTTTTTAATTTTCAGTCCTTTTTCTTAGATTTTAGTTTCAACCTCATGCTTTTATCAAAACCTTTAGTTTATAACTCTATCATGACTGTGTGATGCCTATTTTCCTGGAGCTAGGGAAGTTGATTGTAAGAGGGAAAATAAGTAAGACTAATAAGGAAAAGCCTCAAAAGAAGAGCAGTAGAGATGGGCAGTAGACTTCTAGTTATTGAAACATACTATTAAGCCTATATAATTAAAATGGTGGGGTTGGTGTTTTAAAAGAATGGCAAGAATGGGATCCTATTCAGACTAAGTTATACTCTATGTATGTGTAATTTATCAAAATACACTGTACTGTCATATATATCTAGAAAGAACCAACTAAAAATAAATGCGTACTCGGTGCAGTGGCTCACTCCTACAATCCCAGTGACTTAGGAAGCTGAGGCAGTAGGAGGATCACAAGTTCAAAGCCAGCCTCAGCAACTTAGCAAGGTCCTGAGCAACTTGGTGAGACTCTATCTCAAAATAAAAAAATATAAAAAGGGGTGGGGATATGGCTCAATAGTTAAGCACCCCTGAGTTCATTCCCTGGTATAAAAAAACAAAAACCAAGCAAGTGGCTAGCCCTGGCAAGGACTTCCTGGGTTTCCATTTGTGATTCAGTGGGTACAGATTTTGCTAAGGCAAATTCTCGTCTCGTGTCATCCAGAAAGTAATTATAAAAGAGCATCTGGAGAGTTTAAGTCACAGGTAAGAATTGAGAGTGTGGCAGAGTTCTGTTGTGATTCCAGGAAGTCTAGCCACTCGTGGTATAACTTTTGCTAATGATGACACGTATGGGGCTTGGGAAGAAGGCCGGCAAATACTTATTTGACAATACCAGCCAAATAAGCTTGGGAGTTTGGGGCAAGGCTGCCATTCTTTGAGGGATTCTGGGGTGCTAGGAAAAACAAGAAGATAGATAACAGAATGGGCCTCAGAGCAGAAGCTTTGTCCTATGGATTAGGCAGGTATCCATACTAGGAGATGTAGCACAGTGAGGCTGTCCAGCTGATTGTTCCTGGTTAGGATTTACCTGTGTGATTGGAAGCATTACTAAATTCTCCTCCATAGCAGAGAATATGTCCAAATGTGTTAATGCGTCCCTGTTATGGTTAATGCAGTAATTGGAACAGACCTGGCAGAACTGTAAACAGTTGATTAGTAAATATATGAGCAGAAGGGAGAGAAGCCAAAATCAGGGAATGTGACAGGATCCAGGAAGGCTTTGAGATGAGATAGTATTTGATATGGGTCTTCAAAAAAAAAAAAAGATTAGGGCTGAGGATGTGGCTCAGTGGTAGAGCGGTAAAGGCTTGCCTAGAAGAAGACTGAATTTCTTCACACTATGAGAACAGATAGGCAAGTGGATAGGAATTTGTTTCTGTTTTTTAAACTGGGCCACGTTTCTCTCCAACTTCTAGCTCACTGGTAATAAATTATACGTAACAATTGAAATATGGACTGTATGATTTCAGGCCAGGAGGTGTGGTGTCTCATCATTTTGGTCTTTTTACTTTTGATAACACTGTGCTTTTTTCATGTAGGGTAGGCCAGGATGTATTTTAAGTCTCTGGAGCATATTTCCCTGAAGGTTGCTCTTAAAATTCTGTGTTCTGCCAGTTGAAGGGAAAATCTTGTTTACCAATACAGTGAATAATTAAGAGCAATCTGAATCCTAGTTTCTTGGTGATCCACTAGCTTCTTTTTTAAACTTACTTTTTTAAACTTTGCCGTTTAATTGTTCTTTTGAGTATAACTTACTTCTTTTCATTAATGTTTATGTACTCATTGGGATAAGTCTAACTACGCTTGGTGCTTGGTACATTGATGTTGACACTTGGCTCATTCAAAAAGGGACTATTAGATTATAAATTTATATTGAAAACATATTCCCTTTTTTATATACTTCTCATTAGCTATGCTTTTTGTTTATATTGAGATCTTTATTAATGTATGGTTAATGGAATTTAAAACATTAAGAATATTGAAAATTTTTAATGAAAAAGAGTGCTGTTGTATCTAGTTATCAATCTAATTTATTTTTAAGCAAAGGCCTAGAAAATGATCCAATAGCCTGTGGATAGCAGTTCGGTTATATAAACTTTCAAGGTTTCTTGAAAATCTGAGACTCTAATTCACATTCACATCTACTTTTATTATTGCATGTTTTAAGCTAGGGAGGTAATGATGCAATAAAAGAATCACGATTTGCCCTTTGGAGTTTCTCTGTTGCCGTGAGAACTACCTGGAGTGAGTTAAGCTAGATGAAATCAAAGGGATATCATAAAGGCTGGGGGTTGTGGCTTAGTGGTAGAGTGCTTGCCTAGCATGTGCGGGGCGCTGGGTTCAATCCTCAGCACCCCAGAAAAATAAAATAAAGATTTTGTGTCCAACTAAAACTAAATACAAAGAGGTATATCATAGCTTCAAATTTAATCATAATTTATTTTTATATTCTGAGTTATGTGCAATAATAGCATGTAAATTATTTTCATCTTTTTGAGCTAATGAATCTTAGGACACTAGTTTAATAGTAAGTAATAGGATGCTTATTTAGACTGAGGATTGAGTTAAAAGTATGCATCATAAAATTAGTAGAAGCTGAGTGTGGTGGTACACACTAATATCACACAGCTACTTGAGAGGCTGAGGCAGAAGGATCACAAGTTGGAGTCCAGCCTGAGGAATTTAGCAAGACCTAGGCTCAAAAAATAAAAATAAAAGGCCTAGGTATGTGGCTTAATAGTAGAGCACTTATCTTGTGTGCACAAGGCCCTGGGTTCAGTCTTCTGTACTGCTAATAAAATAAAACAGTAGAGAAGATATTTTGAAAGTGCTAAATAACACACAATTTCAAAATATCTTGAAAGGTAAGTTGAACTGTAATTCTACATCTTTATTACAGGTGTTTAGGAGGGTGGGGTTGTGGTACAGAAAATATACTTCAGGTAATTTCTGTTTATTAAAGTGGCCATAGTTTTATTTTTTCATCAGTTGAAAAGTCAAATCTGTTAAAACAACAAAAAGAAATATTTGTTCCCCTTTCATGAGAGAATATTTACACATATGAAAAATATTTTTTTCCTTGAGATTAATATTTTTAGATTTTCGCTCTGCCAAGAAGCACTATAAACAAAACCACACTGGAACAATTGTGTGACGTGCTTAGCACATGGTGTCTGGAGCAGACATAGGTGCTTAGCAAGTGATGTCCTCTGCTGCTCTAGGTGTGATTCTTCAATCCAGAGGCTGTCATTCTTAGTGAGCCTTTCTTTTGTTGTATAACTGGGAATTTTGACTCTTCCACACAGCTTTTGTATAAGTCGGACTGTCTCAAATTTAGTGTTTGAGAGTAAAACTGTTCTGATGGGGGCTTTATCCTGTACCACTAGGTACCATTGGAGAATTACACAAAGATTCTGGATTCTACTATAGAAGAGGCTTTGGTTTCTGTTATTTCTGGGAATATGTTTGTGGTGCTAAACTGGAAAATTTTGGAAAAGTACATTTCACAAATAGCCTCAGTGTTTTTTTGGTATACTACTATTTTAACAGCTTTTTTGAAATATAATTTACACATTCACCAATTTTATGTGCACAACCCAATTATTTTTAGTAAAGGCATAGATTGTGCAACTTACCATAGTCCATTTTTAGAACACTTCTGTCATCCCGAAATGTTCTGTGCTGCTTGATTGCAGTTGCTTTCGTCTCCCATCCCTGGCTTTAGACAGTTTTGATCTGGTTTCTGTCTCTAAAATTTTGCCTTTTCTAGACATTTCATGTAAATAGTAATCATAATGTAGAGTTTTCATTTAGCATGGTTGAGATCATCCATGTTGTAACAAGTATTAGCAAGTTCGTTACTTTTGTTGCTGAATTGCTTTTATCATTATGCTTTTTTACAGTTATTGCTAACAGTTATGTTAGATCAAAATTGTAAAATTGGTGAATGAATCGTAGATTACAGTATTAATCAATGGAACTCTCTGTGGCGATAAAGTACTTTGCCAAACTGTTCAATACAGTAACCACTAAACAGGTAAAGAAGACACCAGAGGGATGTATGGGAGTTTAACCTGATGTGATGGTCTCCTTCTCAAACTACTACTCATGCTGTCAGCACCCCGGGCAGGATTTGACTGGCCTAGCAGCCAGACTGCCTCAGGTCCTGAGACCATGCAAATATCATCCTTTTAATTATGATGAAGTGATAAGCATTGACAGACTGTGATTAGGGGTCCCTCTTCTCTATTACCGTTCTGTTGTGTACTAATTGGGTGGGATTGGCATTGTCAGCTGGTACTCTTGGTCTGATTAGGAACTTCTTATAGCATTTCTATTTTATTATTTTTAACCATGGTGTGTTATACAGTGTCATTCATATAGGGGCAACTTGTAGATGTTTGCTGAGCAAATACATTAATGTCTCTCAACATAGCAATAAGAAGAGGTTTTTCTCTTTCATGTTTATGTAGATCTGATTTACTTGGTTTTTCAGACAACAAGTAGCCCTATACCATCATACATCTTGGAAATGAAGACTTAGTCTTAAATTTTTGGCAGGACAAAAGTATTTTATAAAAACCACAGGATGTGTTTGGTTAATAATATAAACTGTGTTTGACTAAGACACTATTTCATGCCTAGAATTTACTAAGACACAGGGAAGCCTCTGTATACTTCCATCCTCAGCTCTGACAGCTGCTCATCTGGACGAAGGAACAGGATATGATGCTGGCATCGGTGCTGGGGAGCGGCCCCCGGGCGGGCCTCTGGTCTGGCCCCTCCTGGGGCCCGCACTCTCGCTCCGGGCCCGCTCCACCTACACCACTGACACCGACCTCGAGAAGATGGCTCAGGAACACTCCAGGGCTGCCATCTTCTGCAGCCAGTCAGCCATCAACGTGACAACTGAGAAGCCTTCTGTCCCTCAGATCGTCCATGAGTCTCTGTCCTGGCTGCTCAGTCTTTTCCACTAGACTATAAACTCTTTACAAATAGAACCATATCTTGTTGTTTTTGTACTCAGTGCTTACTACAATGTCTTATACATTAATATTTGTTGAATGATCTGTTTGAAATAATAGACTGTGGAAGAGGAGCGAATAATGGATCTTGAGTTTTAATCGTTGTTACTAGTTGTACCTAATATTTTTAGTTCTATCTGAAGATGTGAAGTGTTATGTAAAGGTGTAAGTGAAGTGTTAACCTAACACTTCCAAGTCTGTGATTTTTTTTTTTTTAATCTCTTCCTGAGAGTCAAAGAGATTAAGATGAAGTGACTAGATCACTACTAAGTGTTCAGCCTTCAAATGAAACTCATATCTGACATGTCTGACTTGGGAGAGGTTCCTTTTAACTACTCTGCCAAGCAGTCTTTCTTAATATAGTGCTAACTTGTTGATCAAAGCTGAAACTTAGCAGACTTGCATCTTTGTGGCATTTAGTCTCAAAACTTTCTTTCGGCATTTATGTTGGATTTGATTATCAATAGATAGAATTTAGTTTCATATTAAGTTAGGGGTAATGCTTCTTTATATGAAAGTATAATGTTTTAAATGTTGCTGTAGTTTATGGACAAAGCTCTTTATACTACAGTAGTTTTTGTCTGTTTCTCAGCATTCTTATTTAGCTGACATATGTGCTGTTATGTGGCAAGATGTGGGTATTGTTTAAAGAACATAAGAAACGGGGTTACATGTCTTTAAAATTAGAAACATTCTACAAATCAAATGGGAGAATGAAAAGACATGTAAAGGACAGTTTGATGTGTACCTCATAAGGAAATAAGGATATGTTAAGTTATTACAGTTTTTTTGTAAAGCATTTAATCTGAAGTGCATCTCATATGAGGCACTGGCCTGAGATCTGAGGAATGGGAGTGTTGTAAAACATCTCTAATGTGCCCTGTTTCTATTGTGGAAAAGTTCACAGTATTTTCTAGTAAGTAGAGAAAAATACAATTTTTAAAAAGTAATTAGTAGTAGCAATATAACATTTTATATTGCAATTTGTGGTTCTTTTCAAATTAGTTATAATTGTTACTGGAATTCAGGAATAGAAACAAAAACTTGTCAGTTGATGTACCAAGAGAAAGTTACATGGCTGAAGCAGAAGAATAGATAGTTCTTAAAGAGTGGTTGAAATTTGAACATGGATGAGCACAATGATATAGTTTCATTTTACTTGGTTTCTTAAGGCCAGAATTTATTTTCCAGCCATCTAAGAAGTGGTTTTATGGTAGGTTGCATAATTCAGTGATCTCTCCCATGGTTACTACAGAAACAGAATAGTGCTTTTTTATTTTTCCTTTTGGAGTATGATCTATTTTAACTAAAACATCTGTATAAAGAAGTACGTAAGATAAAATATATAATATGACACTGGGACATTCTCTGTATGACATACAATGGTCCTTTTTGGTCTGTTCCTGCATATCTCACCAGCCTAATCTTTCATTGCTTCTCTCATGTACTGTTTGCTAGTTCCCCCAAAGGGGCGTGTTCTCTTTGCTCCCAGGCCTCTGGGTATGCTACCTTCTGCCTGAATCATTACCCTTTATTTATCTCCTCATCCTCTCAGGCTCAGATGAGATTCATTCTAAGGAAACTTTCAGAGCACACTTATTAACTTACTAGTATTTTAGATTTTCTTTCACATTTTTTCATTGTATTCACCTGTTAATATTGCTGTTTCAGCTATTTGGGTATATATGTGAAGAGATGGGGGTGTATTTGTATGCCTTATATTTTCTATCCCTTTTTTTTTTTTTCTATTTAGGGTTTAGGTCTGTCTCTTCTAAGCTATTTTTACCAAGATTTTATTTCTGTATTTTCATAACCACTACTTTTATATGTAGTTTTAATCCGTTTACAATTATTGTGGTTATTTATACATTTGAATTTATTTTTGCTGTTTTTTGTGCATTTCTGTTTTTATTCTCTGCCTTTTCTTTTTATGGGCATACTTTCTGTTAAGTGATCGTTTTTATTTTCTGTTTTGCCTCTGATTTTTTTAATTGATATAGATTATATTTCTATTTTTAAATTCTTAAATTTTGTCAAAAAATGTAGTTATTCAGTATTTTTTCCTAATTGAATCAAAGTTCAGTATGGTTCACATCACCTAAACATTCCCTTATTCGTCTTATTGATTTTTAGTTTTTGAGTTTTTACTTTTTGACCTTCAAACATGACCTTTTAAGTGATAAATGGTTAGCATTATAGCAGCTTTTGTGGTAACTTTTTTCTTGTGTCTCATGGGTCCTTTCTGTGTCTACTTTTCTTCTTGATGACAATCTTGTATGAGCTCTTTGAAGTGATTGCCAATAATGGTAAATTTTCTAGCTTTTATATGTCTAAACAATACTTTTTGTCATTCTTAATTGATGGTTTGGCTGCATGTAAAATTCTAGACAGTTATTTTTCCTCAGCTTTTTGAAGATATTGCTTCATTGTCTTCTGAACTCTATTGCAGCTGCTGAGAAGTGTGCTCTCAGTCTGTCATTCCATTGAGGTAATATGTTTTTTTTTTCCTCTGATAGCTTTTAAAATTACGTTTTTTATTGTTGATTGTGTGCAGTTTCTCTACAGTGTATCTAATGTGAATTATGTTTACATGCTCTAATACTCTTTTTCCTGTTAAAATTTTGTCACCGTTTTAACTTGCATAGAGTATATCTCAATATTTATATGTACCTCTACCTACAAGATTTAGGACATTCCTTACATGCCACAAGGCTCTCTTGTGCCCCCTCTCAGTCAATAACGGGTATTTCAAACTCTTAATATTATGAAGGTATACATCTCTAGTTCTGGAAAAAATTTTGGCAATTATTTCTTCAGGTATTGCTTCTCCACTAGCCCCCCAAGTCTTCCCCAGGAAGTTCATAAGACAAACATTGCAGCCTCAATCTATGTCATTTAGCTACTCTTTTCTTTTCCTTTCTATTTTTTTTTTAATTTTTTTATCTGCATGTATTAAGTTCTGGATAGTTTCTTTGTGCTAGCTTTCAAAATCATTCTTTTGCTATGTCCACTCTAGAATATATACCTTTTTTTTTATTTTGATGACTTAATTTTTTTATTTCCAATATTTCTAATTAGCTTTTTTCCTTTCTACTTGATGCTGTTTTGTTTCATTTCTGTACATTTTTTAAAAAAATTATTGTCCTTGTGATGGCTGTTTTATCTTCACTTATATTTTTAACATCCTCCAGATACTTATTTTAAAATCTTTGGCAGATTGCACTAAAGAATTGCTTCTCAAATCTGTTTCTGTTCCAGTTATTGATTTTGTGACTTGCTTTCTTAGCATCAGATTTCTTAATGTTTCAGGACCTTGTTTTATGGTTTACTTTTGAATGGAAGGTTTTTCTGTTTTTCTCAATGTCTTCCCTCTTGCCCATCCCTTATCTTCCCCTTAGCCCCTGGATTTTGCTATGGATACTGGGAATATTGACAGATGCAGTCCTGGAGCCAGAAGGTTGTTTGACTTGGTTTCTGATATTGGGGCAGTGTTTTTGTCCTCTATCTCCTACACCCCCAGTTTCTGAATAAAGCCTTAGTCTTAGTCAGGTTTTGATGGCTCATTTCGTCAGCCTGACTTAGCCCTAGCTTCAGGTGGTAAAGCTGATTTGAGTCCCCTGGCTCCACAAGGCCACTTTTAGTTCCCTGTACTTCCTAAAGGAAATCTGTCTCTTCTTTCCTCCCCATCACAAACCTACTTTTTGATCCAGAAACCAGCATGTCTGTAATGTCAGTTCCTGCTCAGGTTTTTAAGTTTTCATATCTTTTCTATTGCACAGAACTGGTCCTTAATTTGACATCAGCCATGTTGATTTTCTCTTTTTTATGCTGTGTATGCTTTATTCATTTATGCTGTGTGGTACAGATAGGATTTTTGAACTTGCCCTAAGATGTAAACCAAAAAGTACTATTAATTACGAAACTTCTCTCTATAGAGTATTAGTCAAATTAGCAGGAGATAGGGGTGGGAGTTTAACTCAGGGATAGCATGATGAGGCCCTGGGTGTGGTCCTTGGCACTGTTAAAAGAAAAAGAGATACAGGGTCTGAAACTGATTTGTTCTGGAGAGAATATTCATTTTTTGCTATTGTCTCAGTGTGATTTTACTTTTAATATTTGTTCAGTAATCTTAGCAATAGCTTTTTATTACAACAAATATAATTATACCCCTTATAAAGCTTTCAGAAAATACAACAAAGCGTACACACACACACACACACACACACACACACACAAACACACACATGAGATGAGAACTGTTTATAATTTCACAACCCAGAAGTAACTATAGAGTATTTTGTTAATTATGTTTTACACACATCTACAGATATTCATATTTTAAAAAAAACAAAACAAACCCAGTCTTGTTTTGTAGGTGAAGCTGTGAGTGCTGGAGATGCATTATGTGAAATTGAGACTGACAAAGCTGTGGTTACCTTAGATGCAAGTGATGACGGCATCTTGGCCAAAATAGTGGTAAGTTTTCATTTGGATTATCTTCTATAGGATGAAGATTTCTTTTTTTTATTTTTAATACATGACAATAGAATGTATTTTGATATATTATTCACATATGGAGTATAATTTCCCATTCTTCTGGTTGTACATGATGTGGCATTAATTACATTGGTAGGATGAAGATTTCTTAAATGTAAAGTTTTTGAAAGAAAGTTACCTCTTTATTTATATTGTTGTATTATCTTTTACATAGTACATTTTTAATTCGAATTGTGTTTTTTGTATTTTCTAAATTTTCTGTAATGCATATGTTATTTTTAGATGGAATTTTAAAACTCACGAGTAAAGTAAAATAAAATGCGTAAATTCGCATATGGTAAAATACTTTTCTACTGATGTAGCCAATCCATGTGTTGTTTTTTCATTTCCAGAACATTTGCCAGATAGTATAGAATATAGAATAGCAGCTAAGACTGTGGTTTCTGGGAGTCACAGTGCCACCTGAATCATGTAGCTAAAGTCTTCTTCTGCAGTTATAACTGCATAATGAGAAGCAAATTCTTTATCCTTTGCTTCATAATAAAGTAGAGAAGATTATAACAGACCATGGGGTATTAGGGAAATTTAAGTGAGAGAATATACAAATAACTCCCATGTCATTCTATGTGAGTCTAAGCATTTGTATCAGTTGTTTGTGACTAACCAATAAATACTTATTTATGCCTCTATAGTTTGATTTGTACTGGTAAGACATACCTCTAATGGTAGTCCCTTGTCGATATGTTTTTAGTTCTGAGCCACCAGCTCATCTCTGCATTTAGGATGGATATATCACCCTCCATTGTCTATTTGGTCCAAAGACCATACCTTAGAATGTTATACTCTAATTAGATATAGATCTTATAACTTTTAAATTAGTGTTTCTTACTAGAAAGTCCTTTGGAGGTGGTATTAGGGATTGAACTTGGGGGCACTCGACCACTAAGCCATATCCCCAGCCCTATTTTGTTTTTTATTAGCAACTTAATGAGTTGCTTAGTGCCTTGCTGTTGCTGAGGCTGGCTCTGAACTACAGATTCTCCTACCTCAGCCTCCCAAGCCTCTGGGATTACAGGCGTGTGCCACTGCCTTTTATGTCTATATTTTCTAGCCACTTATTTTATTCCCGACATCTTAATATATCAAACATCTGTCTATGATTGAAGCACATTGTTTAAAATATAGTTAACTTCCTCAGAGGAAATCTGAATTGAAGATTAAAATGTTTACCTTTATAACTGAGAAAATAAAAAATATACTTACCAAAAATAATTTGACTAATTTATGTAGTATTTTGAGGAAGAGAAAGATTGCTTACATTGCCATATGTAATAAACCCAGTTTGCATTTTATTGGGTGTGCTTTTGACAGGCTGTGCTCTTGGCCCTAGTTCTGAATTGCTTGGCTGAAAAAGTCTTTCAGAATTTATAGCATTTTCCATTTAACTGCTTAGTAATGCATTTCAAATGGCTAACCATGTCAGTGGGTCAGGAGTGCCTAGTCATATGGTCCCTAATGCTCTGAAAGGTTTGGGAGGGTATTCCTGCCAAAGAAAAGATTGTGTGTTTTAGGGCTTTGTATTTTTATTATTATTCTACATGCTTTTTGGATGATGGCAGTGGGAGTATATTCATGTCACAATGTTATACAGTTTCACAGAGGGAACAAATTAAGGTGGACTCACTAGTGCCTTTTGGTTTTGTCTTTTCTCCTGCTTCAACCCTCACCACCATCACCATCAGCAAGAGTTGTACCCATCTTTTTCGCTGTGGAATAATTCTCATTTTTCCAAACAAAATAACATGATTTTTACAGGAGTAATACATTTAAGAGACTTCTGCTTTCGGAATCAAAGAGTTGGATAATTGAGCTTATTAAAAGGCAAGGGATGATAATAAAACTAAACTGAACACTGAAAATAAGTACTGCAACTCTAATGTCAGTTTTGAGCACACATATTTGAAAGGCTTAGAAATCATAGTACATTTTACTCTTAGAAATTTAAGAGGTTTTGTATTTTATCTTCACAGTTTGGCTTTCTAAATACTCTTATAGTTTTGCATCTGAATTATATTTTAAATGTAAAATAATACTTAGCACACTTTAATTTTACTTTGTGCCTTGATTTCAGCGTTCCATACTTTTGGGTACACTGATAAACATAGGTGAGCTCTATTTGGTATAGTTGCAGATGTTTAATGTCACTGCTTGGGAACATCTCTGGTACAGGTAGAGGGATGAAATTTAGCCTATCAGTGTTATTAAGAATTTATCTCAGGCCTTACCACCTTTTATATGTTGCTATTTGCCCTCTAGTGCTACCAGCCACACGCTGGGCCATTAGGCAGGAATTTCCAGCCCTTATCAAGGTGCATTCTATAGTCCAATCTTGATCCTGTTGATAGTATTTCTTGTTTTAAAAATAATATCTTTAATATTTATGGTAAGTGACATGTTCTTCTAAGTGCCTCACATGTAACTCATTTATTCCTCATAACAACCACACATACCTGCTGTTACTGGTTTTTATTTTAAAGAAATCTGCATGGTGAAATAGACAAACCTAAGACCATATAACTAATAATTAATGGAGTTTCAACATTGAAACCCAGGAAGTCTGTACAAAACTGGGAAGGAAGGCTAGTACTTTGAATGACAGACTTAATTCAGAATTTCACTATTAATAAGCTATAAGTTTATAGGGCAAAGTGTAAAATTTTTTCATTTCATATTAAGAAGTGCTGATTTGGACAGAACAGTACCAAAGGCCTGTTTGGTTTCTAAACACAGTTTTGCAGAGTATGATTTACTCCTATGTACTAAGTCAACACCAGTTTTAAATATTTATGCATGGGGAAAAATGTGAGTACTTTAAATATTGTTTGATATTTAGATACAGTAAAAAGTGAAATGATAATAAAAACTTGTTACTGCCTCTTTGAAAATGTTAATGTCATGTTGGTAGGATATATGTGGAATCATATATATGATTTACAGTAAATTAATCAGAAAAGGAGATTTCAGTTTCAAGTTTAGTACAGTATCTGACTCACATTTCAGAAATCTGTTGATATTTTTAAAACAAAACTTTCCCCTACAAGGGAATGGTTTACATTTGAATCATATTCTTTGAACTTGGATACTGATCGTAAGATTGATTCGTAAGGCTGATTCACTCTTGAAAGGAATTATCAAGTGGACTTCATATCATTTAATGCTTCTTATTTCTATGAGTTTTTAAAGAATTACTCATTTACTTTGTGATTTTTAGTAGGCATTTCATAAACAGCTAATTAAACACTTTTAGATGGAGAAAATGTTAACCTAATAATAATCTTAACTCATCTTTTGACATAGAAATGAAAAATGAATAGTTTGCAGAAGTAAAACTTTTTTTTTTTAAGTTTTAAGTAAAACTTTTGCAACTAAATTTTTCTTGGATTGTTTAGTCTTTTCCCACAGCTTATAATTCATTGTTTATTCTTAATTAGTTTCATATGTCCATTTATCTATATATAAATGTATACATGTATATATGCATGTGCTTCATTAAAGTATTGTTCCTTTTCTTCCCCATTGGCAATTAGTAAATTTAGAAGGCTTCCTAGTTCTCAGAATTTATGTTTTATTGTTTTAAGAATAATGCACATACTAATATGCATCAGAAATGTCAAACCCATGCTAGGTATTATGCTTTTCCTTATAATTATTGTATTAATGAATGTTCTACAGCCTGTAATTCTGCTATTCATTCGATACATCTGTGATGAGCATTATTTAGAGTAATTGAAAGGAAATAATAGAAAATTTTAAAGGAATGACATTTTCTTCCAATACTAAGCCTACAAATATTGTTATCTACAGGTTTTCTAGGGACTTCATTTAATAAGTAAATTAGAATCAGCCTTTCATTTATAAGTTAATGCTGCTGATATGCTTAAAATCTATTTTTCTTAATTTAAAAAAATCATCTTTGATCTTAGGTTTTTAGTTGGTAAATATTATCTAAAAAAACTGGTTAAGTAGGACACCTTAATGTTATTGATAAACTTTAAAAAACTCATTATTTTATTTTATTTTTCAGATTCTATAAGTAGATATTCAGGGGAAGAATTAAATACTAAAGTTAAATATTCTTAACATTAACCAGAATAGTTAGCCAGTTCAATACTATCAATACAATAGTTCAGTAGTTCAATTACTATCTGTACAATGGAACATTCTTCCCTGGCCTTCCCACAGAGACTAAGTTTACTGAAAAGATTTTATTTTAAATTAATTTTAGTAGTTAGGACTAATGGGGGGATTAAGCCCATATGAGCTCTTGAAATGTGTAAAAATTGTCTGAGAAAGATAATGTATAGAAATTGTCTGAGAAAGAAAATAATTGAGATATGTAACCATAGTCTCCTGTTTTAGATTTGTATTACTTGACATCAAAAACAATAAACAATGGTAACTCACATATTTGAAGGCTGCCATGAAAATGAGAGATTCTAGATTTTTCCTTCATCTCAGGAAGTATTATTAATAAATGGGAGAGGAAGGCTGGTGAAGGAGGGCATGAGTGGAAGGCAGAAGGGAAGGAAGGTAGGAGGTTGAGACTCTTAGTTCAAATTAAGAGATCTTTCCTTGATTACCCATCAAGACATAAACTACTTGACATTGATGAGCCTTTCTGTCTCTACTTTTTTTGTTTGTTTGTTTTTAAAATACAGGTTGAAGAGGGAACTAAAAACATACGACTGGGTTCACTAATTGGTTTGATGGTTGAAGAAGGACAAGATTGGAAACAAGTTGAAATTCCCAAAGATGTTGGTCCTCCACCACCAGTTTCAAAACCATCAGTGCCTCACCCCTCATCAGAACCACAGATTTCTCTCCCTGTTAAGAAGGAACACACAGCAGGGACACCGCAGTGAGTATGTTTATTTGAATGATAATGTTAATTTTAAAAAAAAAATTGTTATGGCCACTCT